TGCCAGTGCCAGTTTTCAAATTCAAAATCTTTTTTAATGGAATATTTTAGTTTTTTTTCTCATAATAAATCGTTCCAATATAAGCCATGTTTCTTCCACTAGAACCAATTTTTTTCAGCAGAAATCCATAAAAAACGATTTTTGCAAAATATGACGAATCAAAAATAAATTTAGAACTAAATATGAAACAACATGAAACAAAAAAATCAAAAAATTGTTTTTGTTTCTGACTTCCCCTCCCCCCCCACACACATACCTCCCGTCTACAGTGTACCTCTGCTCTCCTCACGTTTTTTAATATTGAGCGGGGGGCGACGCTACTCAATGTAAACTTTATGTCTTTCTCCAATCCCTCCATTTAAACCTCCTCCCCTAATGTTTTAACCCCCCAACACGTTCACTAAACTGGAAGGGGAGGGGAAGGGGTTCAACTGAGGAGGGGGAAATAGGGAGGGGGCAAATTTGGGAGGGGTTCAGAAGAAGTGGTAGAGTTTAAGTTTAGTCATCCACCATTCAACCATTCCCCTTCAAGCATTAAATATCCCCGTTCAACCATTGAACCCCCGTGAGTTATGACCTTTGGCCTGTACTCATAGAGTAATTTCAGATAAGGTACACCGTCTGTTTGTCACGCTATCTTATTTTCGGGAAGGAAAAAATTTGAAAGGTAAATTGTATCCACCCAACTACACAGGAAACAAGATAATTTTGAAAAAAGCAAATTTCATCATAACCTCTAAAAAAATCCATTAAAATTGATAGTAACTCTTTTAATTGTTTATATTGATCTAAAATATGTAAAAAATATTGGGATTAGAATCAATTTTAACCGATTATGATCGATTATAAATGAAATTCAATGAGACTTTACAGTAAATAAGTAAAATCATCGATTATTATCTTTGAAACTCCAGTTCGGTAAGAGCTTCCATCTTCCATCACGAGGTCAGATGGAAGTTTTTTTTTCCAAACTTCGCAGATAGTAACGGAATTTCTCTGCTCGGACAGATTATTTTTTTTTACCATCTGAAAGATATTGATAGCCCAAATTAAAAAATACATCTGTGATCAGGGGCGGATCTAGGCTTTTCTCGAGGGGGGCGGATTTTCAAAAAATTTTCGAAAATTTTGTCGACCTTTTTTTTAGGTCGTTCAAACTGATTTTTCGAGCTCTCCCAAAACAACGTTTTGGCCAAATTCAAATTTTTCTGCGCGGCAGGCAAAATTTTGAGAAAACAGGCTAAAAAGGCATTCTTAGGCACTTTTTGGAAAATTTTGGACCAAAAAATCGCGTTTTTTCGGCGTGCGCTTCCCCTTCAATACTAGTATGTATTGGCGCCAAAGGCGTCTTTAGAAAATTTTAGGGTCCGTCGCCAAAAATGGATATCTCAAAATAGTACAAAGGGGGGACCCTTTGGGTCGGCAGGGGGTCGAATCCCTGAGGAGGGAGCGTCCCCCCCCCCCCCCCCCCCCCTAAATCCGGCCCTGTCTGTGATGATTGTTTTAAAGATATAAGGGATTGAATTAGGGATAACTTTGATCATTTCAAATCAAATTGGAAAAAATGACGAAAATAGTTTTGGGCTATTGAAACATGAGCGGCAGTTAAAATCTCTCCAAATTGAACAGAGGGAAAAAATTTGTTTTTAATTTCTAGACGCAAAATGTATAATCTTTTCTTCAAATGGCATTTTTATTTACTTATCAAAAATTATTTTAGCAAAATAATTTCAGCGACATTAAAGGGAAGCTGCTATTTTCCCTGATACGAGCAGTCTTGTTGTGTACTTTGCTCTCTCTCTCACACACACACACTTACCCTCACACACACACACATCAAACGGAGTCTCTTATAAAAAAAAACTTTTTTTCTGGTAATTTTGGAAACTAATATCAAAAAATAATTACATAATTCTGGTTATACTTTGTAAGATTTACCTTTTTATGCATATCTAGATTTGAGGAGCAAGGTGATCTTTGGTACTATCATTTGTTTTGGGCTGATTGAAAACTTGCTAGAAAAACTAATGCAAAATTTTTGAGAACAGATCTTAAACTGTTATTAAGTTTGTAAATTGTTTTTTTTTATTATCATGATTTTCATTTTTTTTCAATCTTTTCTGCTCTTTTCTGTTTTTGCTTTCGTTATTTAGTGTTCAGATGCATTTCTGGAAATGTACTGGATTTTTTTTTCTAAATATATCTCGAAACGTCGTTTTTAGTAATTGAAAGCTCTGACTCTCTTATACAGTGGAACCAAACGGATTGTCCTACCTCTCCAAAAACATTACAATGTGCCTACATTTCCTTTTTTGGCGCACGATATACCCCCAATTTTGTTGAAACAAAAAAGATCCAAATAAGGCACCCTTTAGGTAATGAGGGGGTCGAATCGTTGGAGACATTACATCACTCCCCCCTTCAGCCCGTGCAAATTCATTACAGAGTGGCTAATTCATATTGGAAAGTCCAAGCATATAATTGAAGTTAAAGCTATAATAAGTCCATGTTTTTTCTCATCGCAATCAGAAAAAGTGTTTTTTTAGCTTTCAAAACATGTGATATGCCTTTCAACCTAGCAGATAAATAAGCAACTTTGGTTTTTCTAAAAACTTGTATGCATGGTGTAGCAAATAGTTTTGATGCAATCATTTTTTAAATTTGATATTCTAAAAAGTTCAAAAACCACCTGCCATCAACACAAGAATGCAAAAAAGTAAACTGATTCTTAGAAAAACATCGTTACTAAAATATGGTTACGCATTTTCCGCATGAAATATTAGCAAACAATTCTTCTTTAAACCTTTCCTGGTTACAAAACTATTTAGTACATTAATTTGGCTAAATCAAGGTCTAACCAAACATTAATTTTTCGCAAAATTTTAAGATAAGATAGCTGCAGAAATTTTTGAAATGCATAATGGAAAGGTGATTGTAAAGTAGATCCGATTTCGTACCTTGATCATTTGAAGTTTTCGCGCAAATATCACAACTATGTTATCAATCAACAAAACATTTTAGTAGGAAAAAATAACATTCAACTATTTTTGAGATTGACTCAATTTTCGCAGAAAGGGTTTGACAGAAAAATTATTTTATCTGAACTATATCTGAAATTGCTGAATGATGTAATATCGTAGATAATTGTAAATATTCCAATCAGTCGACTCCGTGAAATCCAAGAAAACCCCGGTCTTCGCCTGCTTTTAACATTTATACTCTAACTACTTAGCATTTTGAGGCCCAATGTCCATGGAAAATACCCTAAAACCTATTACCAAATTCAACTTACCTGGTGAAATGGTCGCAATGATAGCAAAAACATAGAAGATCAAATATCTCATAATAGCAAAATTAAAGTTATGTAAATAGCGAGTTGACGAATTTTTTGCTTAGCGTGTTGTGATGTCTTTATCTCAACTGATTGATTTTGTTTATTGTTTGAACAATTAGAACTGAAGGTCTCTCGTTTTCATCAAATTGTATCAAAAGTACATTCATTAATAAATCTTTTAAACTCTAGCAACAACCCTAAGCCTTCTTTCTGTTTTCACTAGAAAAGAAGCAGACTCATTTACACATAGGATAGGTGGACTTAGTTATCAACAAACTGTGTAGGGTGGTCGAGTGTTAGCAGATGCGGATCTGGAGTTTTATCGAGGGTGATGACTTGAAAAAAAAAATTTTTTTGATATTTTACTCTCCCTTTACTTTATAAAGCCCATACTTTGTCAAAACTTTTTTACCGTAGTCATTCACATTTTTCCGCTCGATTGGTATAGTCACGGGACAGAAGTTGCACTTTTTGGTTTCAACGAGAAAATGAACAAAATTTTTCATCATGTTTTGTTCGTTTTCTCTGCAACTATTCAAGATGCACGATTGAAATTTGACAAAAGGCAGATGAAAAAATCATTTGAAAAGGCTTAATCTGGCCAAAAATAGAAAAACCTTGTTTTGAAGGAGAAAATTAGCCAGCTTATCATAATTTTATAGGCGTCCTTGCTGTTATAACAACTTAACAAAAATATAAGGAATCCGAACTAATTGGCTCAAATTAGTTCTTTTGAGAAGCTGATGAATATGACTCACTCATTATTTTGCCTAAAATGACAAATAACAGAATTAACAGAGTAAGTTGGTCCGGCGTAAGAAAACGGCTTCAATTTTATGAATAACTGCGCGCTGATGATCTAATTCAGTCAACGAGAGCACCATTCCAGCAAATATTTTGAAAAATACCGCTCCATCTAAGCACAAAGTCTCATTAGCAGTTGTGTTGCCTGTAAATTTTGTCCAGATTATTTTTGTATTAAATATTTGTGTAATAGAAACAGAAATGACCATTTTGCGAGGCCGGGCCAGGTAATTTTGTTAATTCCCAAAAAACTAATTTGAGCCATTTAACTTCTATTCCTTATTTAGTTTGTGAGGTTGTTTCCACTGCAAGAACACCTGTAATGTTAGTTTTGTTAGTTGTGTAAGCTGGCTAATTTAAACCTTCAAAACAATATTTTTCATCTTTTGGCCCAGCTAAGACTTTTCAATAAATGTTACCTAACTGTTGTCAAAAATTGAATCCTGTATTTTAAATAGCTGCAAAGAAAAAGAAAAAATAAAACATGAAGAAAAAGATCGGTCATTTTTTGTTGAAATCCTGTGAGTGTATACAATTAAAAAGCTCTTGCAAAAAATTGTTTATCACTGATTTCATTGATGAATCCTTGGAAAAAATTAAAAAATAAACATCAACGAAACCATGGCTTGCCTCGAAAATATGAACCAAGCAACCTACTTTGGGAGGCCAAGAATTGCAGGAAAAAAGCTTGAGGAAAGAAAAAATCAGAAGCTAAAAAATGAAGATACTATCTCGAAGATGCAATTCTAATTCCGAAAATTCCAAATAAAACAGCAGAATCTACAGCATCAACATTTATGAGATGGAAAAAGAGTTTTGATCCTTTAGTTTTGCATGTGGAACACAGTTTTATGTGCTGCAGTGAACTTGAAAACATTTTTGCGCAAAGTTTTGGATAACTATTGCGAGATCCATTAACTAATTCAAACCTCACAGAGTTGCCATGATCAATGAGTTTTTGGAAAATATGTGCTGGAAAATGTTTGGAATTTTCCGTCGTTTTCACTTGAGTGTCTAAAATACCTTCTCCCCACTGCTGGTTTTTGGGATGAAGGCGTACACTCAAATAGGAGTTGCACTGAATATCCTAGCTTAACATCCCATGGAAAATGTTTAAACGAAACAGTTATGAAAAAGTTTTTCCCATTGTAGTCCTTCAAAACGAGAAAAAAAGCCTATCATGTTTGTCAAATTTTAATTGAATTTGAAACAATTTGAAACAAATGCATTGAAAAACTAGTATTTAACAAGTAGATAAAATTAGGCATGCTATTTCACGGTGCTTTTTTATTTGTTTTGTCTTAGTTTTTTACTGAAGGCGCTACAACGGGAAAGATTTCAATAATCGACGCAAAAAAACTACTGCAAACCAATTAACCAAGGTAAAGTACGCATAAACTCCAGTTTTATACATCAATTGAGGAATTTGGCCATTTTGTAGCTGATCATATAATTTGGAATTTTAGTTCAAGAAAAAACAACAAAATTATTCCGTTTTTTGAAGAAAGCAAATATCTAAATCACTTTCCTCTGAAGGGAAATAAAGGAAACAGTTACCATTCTGACTTTTATCCCATGTTTTTTTGTATTATACTTATATATAATTGTTTCATACCGTTGAAAGACTCAGCTTAGTCCTCTCAGGAGTTCTTGAGGAAAAACCTAGACGTTTTCAGGACATGCAAGAACTATTATCTTTTGAAGTTTGAGAAGCTGAAAGATTAAGGGTTGAAATGGAATAACTGTTTTTATTAAAAACATTAAATATTGATTCGTTTTGCTAACATCTCTCCATTTTTTGACAATTTTGTTGGTGAAAAATTTTGAGCTTTGCTTCAAAAAAAAATATTATTTTTTTTATAAATCTGAACTACAACATAGACCTTTTGCAACCAGTTGCAATAATTGAAACAACCAAAAATAAGTTAGCTCCTACGAATAACCTTTTTAAAACGGACTACTATATGTTTTCCTATTGAGTCCTGACTCCTTCCAAATCTAGATATCATTCAAATTTAGTCAACAATTTCAAGCAGTTTCAATCGGGTCAACTTCACTTAGATCTTGCATTCTACAGTTGGTCATGAAAAAATAAGAAAATTTAGCTGACATGATTTTTTTCATTCTTTCGGGCTTATTATCTTTAAAAAAACTCGGTGTGCATGCTCCATAACGCGTAAAAACTATAATCAGAACCAGAAACAACTAGCATAAATTATGGATTGAGAAATTTCTGATGATTTTCATTCAAACTAAACAAGGTTCCTTTTAAATTAGACAATTCAAATTAACAACCCATACCATCAAAAAAATAGTGGAATATACAAAAGTCGATTGTAGTGAGTTTTTTAGGTTCTAATGTTGTCAAAAAAAACTAATTTCGATATCGTAAGTAGACAATAGAATTCCCGTTTTTCCAAGAAACGGATTGGAATTGATTTTACCAAAATAATGTAGCAGAAAAAAATGATTTGAATTGATTTAAAATGGATTTATTTCGATGCAAAAACTTGGTTATGAAATCAATTTGGATTAATCAATGGTTCCCCTTTTCCACGGATTTGAGTAACATTTAAGCAGTTTTCGTATTGTTCACTTATTTCTACTGTCAACTCTGTTTGCGATTGTATATCGTACAATTGTATTTTGTTTTTGCTCCTGGTTGTTTTGGTCTCCGATTCTTTTTATTTGACGCAGTTAGTGTTTCCATTGAAAATTGGATTTCGGGATTTTGGTCCTGTCGGGTATGGTGTCCGTTGAAACTTTGGTTTGGATTTCGAGCTTATAATTCAGTCGGTTGTGATTTCCGACGACGGGGTTCTTGCAGTTTTTTTCTCTTTGTTGCTTCCTTTCTGGGAACTTGTTGGTGGGCTGTCTGTAAAGACAATTTTTGGGAATCCTTGAGGTTTCCTGCTCGGTAATCAATCTCATGCGTCATGTATGTTCTGTTGCGGGCTTTAAATCGTTGAATGTGTAGTTCAACGCTCGTACTTTGTTGTTATTGTCCTTCGTTGCCATCAGGTCGGACAAGCGTTCCTATCTATCCGATTCCCACTTTCACCTTAAATCCGGCTTTCTCCCTCGTTGTGGCGTATGTTGTTATTTGGAGGAGCTCCAGCCTCCTTGGGACCTTGCAGTATCGGGGATGAATCCTCCTTTGTATTTTTTTGTTTCTCTTCTTCGCCTCATTTTGTCGAAGTTGCCCTCCACTGTTTTGATGCAATTGATTTATTTTAGTTCTTCTAGTTTTCTGGTAGTTTTTTTTTAATTGTGCGATCAATCAAGTGATTATTTCTATTTTGGATCGGATGATTGCTTTCGATATGTTTGGAATGTTTGAATGTTTTAACTGCACTTGGGATTTCATTCAATTGTGCTGTCAACTTCCTCTCATTTTCTGCGCCCTTTTTCATCAGCCGATTTGGAGCTCGATTCTGAATGGCTAGTTTGCTAGTTTATTGAGTATGAAGTTGTCAATCATTTCAAGATTGGAAATAAACAAGTTAATTGACGCCACATCATTTTCCTCATCTTACTCGCTGGGGGTAGCGCTAACCCTACCGGGCTTCTTGACTTACTGTATATTAGTCCCATTGTCGTTCCTGCCAAGATTTTGTTTTGAAAGTGAATGGGATTAGTCTTTCAACCTACCGAAAGAGTCTGCTTTGGCTAGTCTTTGAGCATTCGTTGGCGTTTATTGCGCTGATTAAAGCTAGGTGTTCTGTCATCACGAAAAAATTTGTGCAGTATAAGTGGTGTTTGAAATGTTCGAGTGCCAACACGACCCCTAACAATTCTAGCTCATTAACTAGGGAATTTTTGTTCTAGGGAATTCAGAAAGTTGGAAGCAAACGCTAATGCTACCCAGTCCTTATCAGTAATTTGCTCAACAGCGGCTTCTAGCCCAAAAAAAGATGTATCGCATACCAACACCTGGGTGTCTAAATTTTGGTTAAAAGGCTTGTTTTCAGTTAGTTCATATACAAGCTTTAGGATGTCATGAAATGCGGTTTTGTTTTCCGGCGTCCAATCTAAAGTGCTGTACTTATCTGAGTTTTTTAGCATTGGTTTCAGTGCGAATGCAGTTTTTGCGAGATTGGTATGTATTTTGTGAGGTGGTGTATTGAACCCATGAAACTTAGTAGTTGTTTGAACGTTATAAGTGTTGTGAATTTTTGTAGTGCGTTTGTTTTTCGGATCAACGGTTTTGTGTTTTTCGGGTTAACGGTTTATCGGTACATATGTTGTGGCCGAGCCATTCTACCTGTTTGCCCGCAA